TGTAGAAAATTAAGCACAGACCAGATAAGCTGAATGAGAAAGACACACTAAATCACACATATTAAGAGGCATTAATTCTTAACAATCAGCTGAGAACAATGAAAAGAACATCACCCAATTGATTAGAGATGAGCTTGTAAGAAAAGGTTCTAAAAATAGATGCATCAGGCCTTACAGAGGCAAACTAATTTTATATTGGATGAGTTCAGTCATTGTAAGAAAAGATGAAAGCAAGAATAGATGAGATGGGAAGAGTTGAAATTTCAACAGAAAATTCTGGTAGTTTTGTGGGATTATAAACCAATTTTTAACCAGAAATTGAACAGATTAGTGGATATTGGGTAGTAGCCTTTGCATCATAGGTGTGGAATAATGTATTTTGGGATTAAACATTCCCATCTCATGCTACCCTGCTACCCCCCCTTCCAGACCCAGTTCCAGTCTCCAGTTCCAGTCATATGTTCCTGTTTCTATCTCCTGTACCTCCCGGTTCCAGTACCTGTTCTCAGTTCCTGTCCTGTCCTTTCCTGTTGCATGTCCTGTTTATTTTAATTTTATCTCACAGGTATTCTGACCAAGATTGATTGACTTGAGTATTAATTTTTAGGTCATGTTTGAAGGTGCCTTATAATGAGCTAATTAATTTAATAGACCTTTCAAAATTCTTCAACAGTTTGGATTACTCATTAAACACAAGTTGGTCAAACACCCAACTGGACATCAAAATTGGGCTGAGTGGGCTGACTCAAGACTGCTGAAATATTGTAATTCACAGTGTCTTGAAAACATATTGATCTGTGTGAAACTTAATTCTGCAAGCTTATAAATCAAAAAGAGATCAATCCATACTTTCAAAAATCAACACATCAGGCACAGACTTGGTAGTCTAGTTGGTAAAGGCGGCACTTTGAGTATAGTGTCTTGGCTTCTAGCTAAAGTTGCTGGGTTGAATCCTGCCCAAGTTAACCTTTATTACTAAATGTCTGAAAAATGCATTGTTAATTTACAACAAAGACTAACCTTGGAAGAGCCACCAGCCCCAAGAAGAATGTCCAGCAAGGCTTCCTCCCATCTCAACTTAATACCTATGTATAGAATGGCCCTTTGGCTGGGGCTTTTCATCCAATGATCCAAAGAACCTTTAATGATACACATATAACATACCAATCATCAGGCTTTTAGGCATGCAACTCACTGGGATCTGTGGATTGACAATCCAATCCCTTCACGGCTTGTGGTTCATGATGAGTTCCTTGGCAGTGAAAGGGTCCAGGTGGTAAGTAGAAGCCCTCTGGGGAGCATCAAATCAGTACTTTATGCGCGTGGATTAACCTGTGCCCATCACAGAAACTCAAGGAATAATTTCAAGCTGTATATTTTTGTCTGCTCAAATCCCCTCTCCAAGGTGATTTGGATCAAAGGTTGTGAGAAAAAGTTAACCAAAAAAAACAACAAGATTCAAAACAAAATCAAAAGTTTTTCAAAAATACAGAAGAAAAAAACTCAAAATTTGGTTTATAATTGGGCCCTAATATTGGTGAGACTCATGTAGGACTAGCTAGTTACTTTATCCCCTGAAAAGTAACACATTGTGGATGAACAAATATGCCTCAGAAAAGGGCACAAAGAAGCGGTCTAGTTTCCATCATCAACTCTTCTCTCTGATTCAGCTGGGGGGGACAAGGCTGGGTGGGCACTTGATGTCGTGCATGTGCCATATAAGGACATTAAAGAGGGGCTTTGTAACGGGCAAGAAACATGCCAATCAGAAAAAGAAGGAACCCCTGCACCGCAGGCGACCTTTGAGGAATGAGAGCGACACCAAATACCGGTCCTGAACATCGGCACATCCCATCCCATCCCATCGCCAGTTCACTCACCAAAAGACACGGCTGATATGGGAACCCAGTCGAAGCTGCAGCGTTTTATATGTAGTGTGTTGAACAGCGGAGTTATCAACCAGGCAGCTTTGCAAAAAAAAAAAAAAAACCACCGCTGTGAGAAAACATGTCACAAGATCCATGAAGGGGCGCAGTTGCACGGGGGGCCGATATATCCCCCGCTGGGGAGTTGGGGCCTACATCATACGCCCATGTCAGGGTGGCGACAGGCGGACTGAACTCGAACGACGACAGGGACGAGCTTAAGCGGGGCAAGCTAGCTGAGAAGAAGAAGCAGACGATTAGGACGAGACATACGAGCGAGGGTGGAGCAGAATGCTGTTACGAGTGGGAAGCGGCGGGATGAGGAGGGTAGGACGAGTGGGTTGGCAAAAGCAGCTGAGCGGGGGCACACGAGGGCTGTGGACGGCCGGAGAAGGAGGAGAAGGAAGGTTTCGACGGATGGTGTTGCGCCGATACCCGGGCCTGACGGGCGCAGAGGCTGCGCGTCTCACCGCCGCGTTTGTCGTCCTGCACGAGCTCACCGCTCTCGTGCCTCTCCTCGCCATCTTCGGCCTCGTCCATGCCTCCGGTTCCGCTCATTTCCTCCTCCGTCACTTCCGCTCCCTCGCCTTTCCCGACCTTCCCGACCCCACCAACACCAACACTAACAACAACAGAAACGAGCCCCAGCCAGGATTCCTCGCCTCGTCGCTTCACAGCGCCGTCGACAAGGTGCAGCGGATTGCGCGGCGGTACGGATACGCTGAGGACGGCGAGACGGACGCCTCGACGATGGCCGTCCACAGCGGGATAATAGCGAGCGGCCTGGTGGCCTATCTCTCCGTCAAAGCAAGCCCCCCTCCCCTTCTCGTCCTCCCCAAAACAGAGAGTTACAGTGAGACTGACCTTCCTTCCGACAATAAAAAATATTAGCTTTTGCTGCCCCTCCGCATCTCTCTCTCCCTCTACCTCACCCCCTCCTTCGCCCGCCTCCTCCACAGGTCCTTCCGCTTCCGCCGCCCACCCACCACCACCAAGCCTCCCTCCCCGCCGTAAACCACCTTCAAAAAAGCTCTGTCTGGTCTCTCTCTACTTGACCAGTGCTTGACCAGTGCTTGTCTCTCCTCCCCGATAAGATCGTCTTCTGCATATGACCTGTGTTGTGTCTGATCGAATGAGCTAGAACCATGCGCCCCTCCAAAACCCGTCTCGATGTGATCGCCACTTTCGTCAAGCTGCCCCCCACACAACCAACAAGTATCTTATTTCTTGGCCGGTTGGCCATCATCAGTGTTGAAATACAAATCCATTGGGTCAAAAAGCTGCGTCATCACAAATTATATAAAATCATATGTCATGAATAGAATCAATA